ATTCAGCAGCACAAGAAAGCATTCCAAGAAAGAAATTCAGGAAAAACCGGCGCCCTTACTGGAAAGAGGGTTTAAACGAGTTTCATAAGAAAAGCAGAGAATGTAGAAAAAGATGGTTACAGAATGGAAAATCACAAGATCGTGAGAACATTTACTATAGAGAATACAAAGAAGCGAAACGTTTATTTAGGAAAGAAATGAGAAAAAAGATATATTTAGAAGAACAAAAACAACTTGAATCGTTAGAAAAGCATTACGAGACTGACCGTAGCACATTCTTTAAAATCACCTCGAGCATTCGTAAGAAAAAAGAAGTAAGCATTCAAGGGCTAGAGGTGGACAGAACCTTAATATACGATCCAAAAGAAGTTCTGTCTGTGTGGAAAAAGCACTACAGTGATTTGTTTACACCTAAAACAAATCCTAAGTACGATGAAGAGTTTCGAAGGTTTGTGGAGGCAAAGATAACAGAGTATGAGAGTGAAAGTTTTAATGCAGAAAATGATCCGTTAGACAATACATTTACAGAACATGAAGTGCTAGACGTTTGTTCCAAGTTGCCAAATGGAAAGGTATCCGGACCTGATGGTTTAACGTACGAACACATAAAACATGCAGGAATCACCTTGGCACCTAAATTGACTAGAATCTTTAACGCACTCAGAGAATTTGAAATAGTCTCTGATAGTTTTGTTCTTGGAGATATAATATCATTATTTAAAGGTGGGAAAAAAAATCGATTGAACAAAGATCACTATAGAGGCATAACGCTCTTAAATGTTATCGGGAAAATTTTTGAACGACTCGCATTGCAACGTTGGTTACCTGTCTTTGAAACCTGGAGCGTACCGAATCCATTGCAGTTTGCTTATCAAAAAAATAATTCTTGCATAAATGCAAGTTTTGTTCTCCAGGAAGCAGTTGCGCACAATGTAGAACGTGGGAGCAAAGTTTACTGTTTGATACGGTATGGATTGACGGACTGTTTTTCAAATTGTACAATAATGGTATGAATGGTAAATCGTGGCGACTGCTGCGTAATTGGTATAAGAGACAAACAAGCAGAGTTCGAGCGAATGGTCTGATATCAGAGAAATTTCCTGTACAGCAAGGTGTGCGCCAAGGAGGAGTATTATCACCTTGGTTATTTCTATGTTTTAATAATGACATTCCGCAAATTCTCATCAAACATTGTAGCATGCTAACAGTGAACTCTATTCCTTGTAATCCAGTTATGGTGGCTGATGATATAACAATTCTTTCGACTAGGGTCAAAGGATTACAAGAACAGCTTGATACTCTGGAATCCTACAGCTGTCGTCGGCGATTCGACTTTAACACAAGGAAAACCATTGCAGTTACATTTGGAGAAACCACCAGGACATTCAACAAGAATAATGCAACAAGGAACTGGAAGTTATACAATGCTAAAGTAGAAGAAAAGTGTAGCTGGACACACGTGGGCATCGAATTATCTGGCGACTTCAATGGTAATGATACAACTAAGAGTGTGTGCAAAAAGGCTAAAGAAACTGTACACAGCTTGATGAACCTTGGTGCCAGGAGTGGGGGGCTGAATCCGATTTTCGGAGCTGGCAGGGGCGGCGCTAACCCTCTTCGAGTGGGGGGGGGTGTGAGTGATCTTTTGCCGACTGTTGTTTGGTAATTTTGTCTAGTCATTAGCCTATAGTGAGGGTCCTGAAGTGGGGGGAGGGGTCCCAATCCCATTTCCCACCTGAAATTTTGGCAAAATCCCAGTTCCAGTTGGATTTTTATTAGAAATCCCAGTCCGAGTTATTGAAATCCCAGTCAATAAAAAACCCTTTATTTATCGGTAGAATAAACAGTTTTAAGACCTTTTAAGCCACCGTATGTGCAAGTGGCGGACACTTTATGAAATATTAGGGGGGGGGGGGCTCGTGCCAAAGGCACGGAAAATTTTTAAATTTGAATCCCGGAAATGGCATGTGCATCATTCTGACACACGCATAATCAGAAAACCCAAAATTCCAGGCGCCAGAGTATGCCTGTTCGCAGGTAATGCTGTGAATAATATAGTTAACAACAAAAATCATGACTAAAGACACAAAAAACGGATCAAAATTGGGAATCGACTCACATTACTTCAATCCCATTCCCATTTTTGAGGACTTCATTTCCCATTCCCAGTGGCCAAATCCCAGTCCCAGCAACCCAAATCCCATTTTCCCAGTCTAAAAATAGATCAATCCCAGTTCCTATTTTACCCCTTCAGGGCCATATATAGTAAATGTGCATGTTTAAATGCGCTTTATTACCCTCTATTAAGTCGGTTTTCCACTAGCGAATTTTTCTGCGCGAAGCGACCTTTTTCCTTTGTCGGCATCCATTTTGCAGCCCTCGAAAAGTCAAAACCGTCAAAATTGAGGTCGGCAAAAGAGGGCCGACCTAAATCTGACCTAGGTCGGCACATCTCGGCATTTCTTAAAATCTGTTCCACGTCTTGGAGCAATATTAATCACGCATTTACGAATCATTGACTGGAACGTTACCTCCAGCCGGAAAATTCGAAAGTTGGAGCCAAATTTTAACTCCAGACGCGCGAAATTTGATCTTCAAACATCTAACGTATATACACAATACCCGTCAGTTTAAAGGAAAAAGGTCGCTTCGTGCGAGAAAATTCGCTAGTGGAAAACCGACTTTATTGCCTTTTTTATAAAACAGTATAATAAGCAACAACAACAACAACAACAACAACAACAACAACAACAACAACAACAACAACAACAACAACAACAACAACAACAACAACAACAACAACAACAACAACAACAACAACAACAACAACAACAACAACAACAACAACAACCACCACCACCAAACAAATTTAATTACCTAATTATGATTTCAATAATATTATGTTTTTGGACTAGCTGCCAGAAATGAAGATACTGTATTCGAAAAAATTTGCATTGCTGCATGTGTGGTTTCTTTGATGCATGCTATTCGTGATATTCGGTTTGAATTCAATTATTCAGGAGGTCAATTTTGGTTTCTTCAGTGGTTATCTTTAGCCAATCCAGTTTTGCCGACTGAGATAATAATTTGCCGATTAGCTGACGAGTGGGGGGGGTGTTCCACCCCCCACACACACCCTGTAGCGCCG